AGGTGGAAGAAGAATAGTATTAAGGTCTGAAACGTCATTTAGCTCGAAAAAATCTTAATCTAGTGAATTAAAAACGATAATAATGGGAAAAAATATTTGTTCAGGTTTAAGGCAGTACAGAGTTGAGTACGTTATATGCAAATCAGCGAGTCATACGACAACTACAGCCGGCATAAGGTTGCGGTGGAACACCATGTATCAGAACTACATTTTGAAGTTGTACGGCGTTACGCGGTAGTGTGATGCTACCGAAAACGATCACTTTGGGAAAGATATGTAACATCCCTTTTCGACGCAAGATATTATCTGTACAATAAGACCATAAATGTGTTAAAATCAAGTGTTTATAATTTTTAAGACGGCGATATCCCTTTAATTAATGACATTGGAAACAAAGGAATATGGATCAACTATGGAAACTACGACCATCCAGCAAGAGACGTACAACAAGTCGTACCTTAATCGTGGTAAGTAAAGTGCGGCGTCTTGTAGCAGGTGAGAATCTGAGGCAACAGTCTGCAATATAACAAAGAAGTATCTCTATGTAGAAATGAGACCAACAAGGTACGAGTTTATCAAATTTAAACTTCCAGTCATACCTCCTGTTCAACCGTTACCTACCACAAGCAGCTGGAGAACGAAACGGGTATTCATACTATTCCATATGAAGACAAAGTAGTGAAATCGCCGGAGTCTGCACATATAGATTTTGTGATTGGACTGTTGAAACTGGCGCTAGAAACCTCCATTTTCTACACTAGATGGACTATGGAAAGCAAGCAGGGAGGAGTGATGTACTTTGGGAATGGGAAGATGGAGCTTTTTGCAATGGACACCATGCTGCAAGATGATTATCAGTATGCACGGCCATCAGATAGAGCATGATCGGACATGGCGAAATGAACTGTAAGACAGTGAGGATCCAAAATCGTTTTAATACAACTTACTCAACTCCTGTATTGCATGAAAGCAGATAATGTTATCTCACGATATGAGTCTGAACGATTATTTAAGCACTTTAACGTAATAAGATGATCATTTTTTTTTCAATTAATTAGAGAAAAGTGAAGGAAACAACAATAACAAAGGAATTATAAGCTTCTTTCGAGTTTTATTCAAACAAACCAAAGCACTGAAGAACACTTACCTTTCAATAACAACTCACAGGATGTATGTTAGATAGGGGGTGCTAATAATGTAAAATAATATTTATTTATTAAAAATGAGACAAAGTTGTGTCAGTTATAAGTTGCTCCATGGCTTGTATGATAAACCTCAGTCTCAAACGATGAGTTTTGAACGAACACTAGTAGTTTACATTATCAGTTCACCTTGTCAGTTTAATATGAAACATTAATGACGAAAGGCAGAGTTCGTAAAAATGTTACGTTTTTGTATTACGAGCACTGATAGATTATTTCAGATTCATGCAATGCTTTATAGCTATATTTATAAAACAATGAAGTGCTAATTATCTACTTAGTTTGTACAGTCGTTTCCTCATTTATTTCTAGGTAAATATTTCATTTCCTAATCTTACATGATCAGCAGGACAATAGGCTGTATTTCAGAAGACGCACAGTCCTGCGATACAAAAATGTAAACATTCTGTTTATGATAACCAAAATACGAAAAAATCAATATCATGAGCAAACTTTCTAGGTAAATATTTCATTTCCTAATCTTACATGATCAGCAGGACAATAGGCTGTATTTCAGAAGACGCACAGTCCTGCGATACAAAAATGTAAACATTCTGTTTACGAGAACAAAATACGAAAAAATCAATTTCATGAGCGAACTTGCGTTTCCTTTTCTCACATTATATTATACTAGAGGATCTCAATCGTTGCTTATTAGGATGTGTACGTAGAGGTCGTAACAAGCCTGCGTTTAACAAGGGCTATATTTTTCTCGTAAAATACCTATAATAAGAGACCGGTAATTGTCTTGTATACAGATTATACTGCACTCTAATTCATGGGTTATCGTGGAGAGTAAAAGTCAATAAAATGGTAATTCATTTTAACGATGTATTTATAGAGCTCAAAACACAATTGTCGCCATTATTTCAATGTCGAAGGGGTTTACTTTTAAGTCGAAAACAAAAACAGAAGCTATGTCAGATCGGTTATTTCAACCATCATCTTTGATACAGCACCCTGAAGCAAGTAAATCAACTAATGATACTCTCAAGACATGCTATTGTTTAGGTTTATGCAAACACGTGTTCCAAAAAAAGCGATAAGGATAGAACGACATTTTTTATTAATATTTGATTATTGTTATAAAACCATTTTGAGGAACTATAAAAATTTGTTATTGTAGTTAGAATCGACCATTATTTATAAATGCGGGAACTTTCCAAATAATATATTCAAATTGCCGGGAAAAAAACTATGCGGATTCTTAGAAATTCAAATTACGAAACGTAGTAACAACCATAACGTATGATAAACGTAGTTATTATGGTGGATTATCATAATGAATATTCACGTTTGTTCTCTTCTCTTGTTTACATTCACTTTATTAGCTAGGATAAAACTAGAGAAATCGTTTTTGTTGTTGTTGTTTTCAACTGAGCGAAATTAAGAGGTTAAAAAAATCAGTTTCCAGTTAATTACGACATAAATTTCAATTTAGACACGCTGAAAAGTTGATACTTTATAATGTTTCGACGAGTCTTTAACTGTGTAAAATTAACCTTAATTAGAACACCAGGAGGCCTGTTAGACGCCAACGCATTTGTCATTATGTATTTCCTGATTTCACTAACTGTAAAAAAAAAAAGTATATTTAAAGTTAATTGTTGTATATTATCCCTTCATATCTATTACACGCAAGAACTATATTTATGCGTAGCAGGGTCTAACATGGTAATATACACTACTCCAGAAAATCTGAACACATGATATTGCGTAACAATTAATTTTAACACTATAATACTACGCTTTAGTGAACCCTAACGTCGTGGTTCTGTAATATAGTGAACTTCAGCATTATGGCATTGCAATAAAGCAATATGATGTTGCAGCATAGTGATATCTCAACAACATGATGTTGCAACATAGCGATATCCCAGCAACATGATGTTGCAATGCTGGAGAAACCGCATTAGAATATTTCAACGTAGTGAATCCAATATCATGATATTAAAATACAATTAACGCTCACATCACGATATTGCAACACAGCCAACCCAATATTATAATATTGCAAAGAAATGAATCCCTAATACCAGAATACTATAATACAGTTCCCCCCAAAACCAGGATACCACAGTACAGTGAACCTCAACATTATGATATTGCGAAACAGTGAACCTCGGCGTTATGGTTGTTTTTAATAGTAGCGGATTTCAAAACTACAATTTTGCGAAACATTGGACCCAACCAAACACGATAAATGTGATGTAATGAACTTAAAGTGAATTGTAAGATTATGTTTTCACAGCAAAGTGAACTTTAACGTTCTAATAATAATATCCTGATCTCTCAATACAACAGACCTCGACATATGTATTCTAATAAAGTTAACTTTAACATCAAGATCTTGTAAAATAACTACTACCTTCTTTTCACAATAGAGTTGTCCCGAAGCTGGACCCCAAATAATATCATACAGCTATACACACAGAATATCGCACCATGATATTGCAAGGTAATGTTCGGGCATCATGATATTGCAATACATTAAGCACAACTATCAGGATATTACAATACAGGAGATCCTAATATCATAGTACTTCACGAAGTAAACTCCAGCTTCATGATAATGCAACATATTAAACACAAGTGTCAGGATGTTACAATATAAAATATCCTAACATTGCGATATTTTAAGACAGTAAAATCCAGCTTCATGATACTGGAACACATAAACACAAGTGTCAGGATATTACAATACAATAGATCCTAACATCGTGATATTTTAAACAGTAAAGTCCAGCTTCATGATACTGGAACACATAAATACACATTTCAGATATTACACTACAATAGATCTTAAAATCGTGATATTTTAAGACAATAAAGTCCAGCTTCATAATACTGGAACATAAATACAAATGTCAGATACTACAATACAATAGATCTCAACATTGTGGTGTTTTAAGAGAATAAAGTCCAGGTTCATGATACTGGAACACATAAATACAAATGTTAGGATATTACAATACAATGAATCCTAACATTGTGATGTTTTAAGACAGCAAAGTCCAGCTTCATGATACTGCAACATATAAATACAAATTTCAGATATTACACTGCAATAGATCTCAACATCGTGATATTTTAAGACAATAAAGTCCAGCTTCTTAATACTGGAACATAAATACAAATGTCAGATACTACAATACAATAGATCTCAACATTGTGATGTTTTAAGACAGTAAAGTCCAGCTTCATGATACTGCAACACATTAAACCCAAATATCAGGATACTGCAGTAAACTTCATCACCACATTTTCAAATACTGAGATAATATAGCTTAGATATACTTAAACATATATGCAACATGGATGATTTCGCAGTTCAAATCCAAGTTTGTTCTCTGTGATTTTTGAGCCAAATGCAGGTGAGTTTAAATAGTGTTTATGTTATCTAGAGGACATGTTATATCTAATTTCTTCTGTAAATATTATTTAAAACATTGGATCCACTGGGTTTGAAGTGAGTACGATAGTTTTTAGAAAGTCAGTCCAGTTTTATAAGTGGAAACGTTTTTTTAGAGATTTTTTTGTGTGCATTCATACACATTCATCACTCACTCCAAACCTACAGTTAATATACATGATTGAGATACAACATTTAAGTTACCTTCTTCTTTTATACGTGTACTTTGCAAAATGAATTCCTTATTCGAACGCTGTATTTAATTTAGAGAGAGATTAGTACACTAATATGCAACGGTAAGTGTGTTTGTATTAACATTGCCCTTAACGATATCTAATTAACGGTCGATTGACCGATAGGAAACAAGAGAGCAAAAGCTAGCTTACCTTCTGAATCAATTGTTATGTGTTGTTAAAAGATAGTCATGAGCTAAACATTTGTAGACCAGTGTTTATTTTTTTCTAGTCTATACTCATGCTCTTCACTTTCTGATGTTGAAGCAGTAACACTTGTTACCAACTGTTTGTCTAGCGGTTAGAAAGAAACAGTAAACATTTCGCACTAAGTCGTTTAAAACCAGTGCAAAAGAAAAGAAACGCCGTTCTTGAAAGTACGTCAGTAGAGTAAGAACACGCTGATTCACTTCACTTGCTCAAAGATATAAACGCATGCACCTACAAAATGATCAGTATTTGGTCATGTTCATATCCAACATGCGTTGAGTTCTCTATATATCGAGTCAGTGAACAAGTCAACACCTTAATTTCTTCAGCTCAATGTAGATAGCGAGTAGTACTACTTCCAGAAGATCGAACATACTTCTCGATGTCTTAGCACTCGCTTTTTCTTAGCTAACTGTCTGAGAAAGCGCACCCTGTCGCCCGATAGAGACATCACCTCACGCTCATGACAAAACGAGGCACCAGTACTCGAGATTTTCGCTTCTCAACAGCTTAAGCTCGGCCAATGTTCAACAAGGAGGAGGGATTGAGATGACGTCATCATGACACAATATCATACTTTGAATACTTAATTCAACAGTAATGCAGACTTTCCGCTACATTAGGAGGAACAGCCCCTTTTTCGAGAAACTTAATTACATGTTCATATACAAACCGTAGAAACCCCAGCGAAGCGGTTAGACAAAGTAGTACCGCCTACTGATTTCTTATTTCCAAGCACGTTCATGGTTATATGTGTAATAGCTTCAACAACCTTATATTACATTACTGTTTATGTATAAGACCGCAAATTCTTTTGTTGTTCTTCCGTCAAGAGGTCTAGACTATAGACTCGATAAAGCCAACAGGTCACAACCATTGTGCGTAAGGTACGATGAAAGGTGTCACAACCAACACCCTTAATGAACGCATTTACTAATCAGATGCAGTTATTTGTTTTAAAAACAAAGCACACATATTAAACACTTTATTATTATCAAAAATAATTCAGCTCTTTCACTCGTTAGAAAAAAGTTATTCTAATAATAAAAAAACAAAAAACACTTTCATATAGAAACGTCTCCGTGTATTCTCGGAACCTGTGATTTTTGTACAATAGCTTACAAATACAAAAGAAAGAACCTAAGGTCAAGTGAAGTGTAAGAATTCGTTCAGGTCACCTTGGCTAAAATAATGTTTGAATTTCAATTACTGATAGAGCAACGAACGAGCGTTTGAATATATTGACAAAACGAAAGTGGTTTCATTTCTTAAATCTCAATTAATTTTGTTGTACATTTGGTTTCAGTTTGGGTTCATGAATGTTTATTGTTACTGTTCTTTATTTGAACAAAGTTTTCCTTCATCTACAACTGTATATATGTACGCTGAATTATTAACTTTCAGCGAGGTGGTCAAAACCCTTTTCGGAACCATACAGTGCCCCCTACAGTTGTTTTGCCCAACAAATGTTATCCCTTTGACCTCCTTCCTGCATATTAATTTTAATTGACTTTTATTTGATGTTTTACTTTCTAACCATCCTTTACATCAGTACTGACATTTTTAACAAACATGCACATTATTTTTAACCGCTGTGACTGCTACTAACTGAAATTTTAATGTATTTTTCTTTCTATTCTACACGTTAATCTTCACTCTTTTGACTATCTTGAACAATATCTTCCACTGCTTTTAAATTTTTCCTGCCTTGATTATTAGTTTTTTCATATTTGTGAGTATCTTACACATCAACTGTCACATTGTTTACTCGTTCTGCACATTAATTTGACTAATTCACGTATTCGTTTTACCTCCTATTGAGAGTTTTTGATATCATTTTCACATTTCTAGCTATTCAGAATTTTATTTTGAATTCTAACTCCCCTACCCATTTATTTGATCCCATTTCAATTTCTTGGGCACATGTATCTTGCACATCAATGTCATATTCTTTATTGTCTTGAACATTAGTTTCATATTTCATTTTAAATAATTGAAAATTTCTCCTTCTGTACCTTACGTTACACAGTTGTGAGTATCTTGCACATTAATCCTACACATTACTTTTTTTAGCCACGGCATAGCGGCTCATGGAATGGCTCCGAGTTTTTCAAGTACAAACCTTTAGCTCATAGCTCCGTTACCTCTTGAGCAATTTGAGATCTAGTTACAATTTTGGACTCAGGAGGCTAAAACCCTTTCGACTGATGTATTTGACCACGCCCAAGGTCTCATAGATTAATATATTCTAATCCTTTCTAAAAGAATTATTAGTGTCGCGGCTATTGAAGATCCCCTCTTGTTTCTTTTTTACTCCGCGACACCTTGGTATCTACATTTGTTGTGATTCTCTTGTATGTAATTTTATTTTACTTTTTTTATTGCAATTGTCATTGGTTTAGGCTTATTCTGTAGATTAGTCTGTTTCTTATTGTCTCGCATATTAGTTTTATTCTTTAGTTTTCCCACGCACTTTTTATTGTCTTTTTATTGCATTTTTCTACTTTAGTTCTCATCTTTTCACCTTTTCGATTGGACTGGTTTTCACATTCGATTTTACTTTTTTTATTGTCTTTTACATTAGTTTAACTTTTTTTCTTAAGTTGCTGCACATCAATTTTCTTTTTCTTTTTTTTTATAAGTTTGTTGCACAATTCTTAAATTTTGGGGGTACCCTTTACATTACTTTTCACACTTTCAAATGTCTTGCACACCAAGCTTCACAGTTTTCACTATTTAGTGCTTGGATATTCTCATTTATTAATAGTTTTCCTGCAGAAAATTTTGATCTTCTTGACTTTCCTGCACATCAGATTTAAAGTTTATGACTGTCCTGTTTGAGTTTGTGACTGCTTATGTTTTATCGACAATCTTTCAAACACGTATCTAGAACTCGTTTTGTGTCTTGCTTTTTCTTTTTTTAGAGGTAAGCTAATCTGAAGATAAAGTTTAATTGCATCGTAAAGATTGGTTTCATTGTTTCCATGCTTTGTTTTGTCATGTAATAATAATAAACATAAAGGATTGAGAGAAAAAGTTAATCGCTCTTGAATAAATGACCTGTTAGTTGTAATAAGCAACTTG